AATCATTATTTGTTTGTATAACTTCACAATTTTTTGTAACAACCATGTTTTCTTTTTCTTTTTGCATTTCTGTAATGACGAAGCTTTCACTTCCCACATTTTGCTGTAGCAAATAAATCTTGAATATATACTGTATATATTTCTGATTGACAGTTCTAATTCAAACTTAATAATACCTGCTTTTGTTTTTTAACTTAACTTTTGGAGAAATAAGGAAAACCCACTAGGCCACAGGTCATTGTTGAATCGCATATAAGAAGTGAGGAATGTCTTTCCCATAGTTGGGAAAGGCTCTGTTACTTTTTGTTTCATACAAATAATGGCAGCAGAGCTCTGTTCTGTGGGTCATTCAAATACGCAAGAATGGTCTTCTATTCAGGTTTTTATCAGAAGATGCAGTGACTTCAAACAAAAACTTACATAAATCAGTGTTTAACATTCCAGCTGAGCATTTCTGTGGTCAGTCTTTCCTAGTTTAGGCCACTAAAGCAGATCACATTCATCTAGACATTAGTAGAACTGGATGGAAAATAGTTTTCCTACATCACATACCTTCTCACCATTTCCAGAATAATGTTGTTCTGCATAAGAACAAACATGAAGCCTTCAAAGCTCCCAGCACAAGTGTCTGGGCTTCAGTGGTGTAGGCTCTCTTAGGCAGACTAAGGACTTATACCTGATTTTTGTATATTCCAAGGCACTAATCATTGGATTGTTGGCTATTCTCACATGTTCTTTTTCTATTCAGCTGTTCCTAATATAGTCTAGACAGTGACTTACCACTTTCAGTGATGAGTGAAAAACAGTGAAATAAACATTTTAATAAAGGGCATAGAGACATTCTAGAAATTACTGAACTAGCATCTTAGCAAAAATGTCTGAGGCATCGATTACAAAACAGAAGAAACCATGAAAGAAAACTCAGCTGCTGAGGAGTGGAGGCTGAAGTGACAAATAATTCAGTTCAAGAAATAGTATCACTTTCACAACTAGTATGAACACAAGTGTTTTTAGTTAAGGCAATTCTACCAACTCACACAGCAGTGACTCCGATGCATATCAACTCGATTAACTCCTTATCTAAGAAATAATTTTAATTATAATCTCAGCTTTTCCTTACTGATGTTACATATAAACTGCTTGATATCTTTTTAATTATGTTTATGGTTAATTTCTTCTGTGTATTATTTAAAAAACTAAGACTTTTCCGTACATTTTAAAAAACCCAAAATCGCAGACAAGAACAGGAAACAATATAGCCATGTCTGTTGAAGGAAATACTAATTATCAACAACTTCATAAACTGCAAGAAATTACATCTTACCGCTTTTCACTTTTAACAGGTATTCTTTTTACAAAATTAATACTTGCCTTTCATTTTCACTGAAAAAACCCATTGTCAAAGAGAACTGGGTGAGATGGAATTCGGGAATTCTGCCCATTCATCTACTTCACGGCATGCATGATGCATGTCCGTGAAGAATATTACTTCTCACAGTAATGCAATGAAAAACACGTTGATCATTCTACAGAGGTAGGTATTGCGGTGCTAATTTTAAAGGTGTCAAATATGTCACTTCCTGCTGGCTTCTTTAGAGTTTATGTTAATGGATTAACTATAGAAAGGCGGCTATCAACACCTACAGTTGCTCTCTGCATCTGCAAGGGAGAAGCATGGAAGAGAAGGACTCCCGCTAAGCTAATACTCTTTCTGATCGTTGAATATGACAGACTGGAATAATGCTCCAACACAAAGAGGATAAAACAGCAGCCATTTGAAGAGAAGCTCTCTGGTCAGGAAATTCTGGCACCACACTGTAATCACATTGAGTCTATGAACCTTGAACTGACGGCTTGTTACAAAGTCGACTAACATCACGTACATAGGTACATCCAGTATCCATATGAATGCCATCTTTTCTGTTACTGCTTTAACAGACACATGGAAAAATAACAGGAAAAATAATACTAGGCCACTTGAATGGAAGTTCTTCATCTGAAACCATGGACATGTTACATGAATAGTTCTACAGAACAGCGTCCTGCCTTTTTTGCGGACATTCAGATTGAGGATTTTGAGAGGTTTAAGGCAGCACTTTCACATACTGAAATGAATATTAACACTTATTTGGCTAATTTTGAGAGATGCAAAGTATCTGAAGATACCATACACTTATGAGGACACTTCTGAAAGCTCATCTGTGCATTACACCAATATTGTCTGGAAAAGTCGAATGCACACTCAACCTTTTCAAACAGGTCACAGCAGCAGAGATCAGAATTGCAGAAATCTGGGTGTTTTGGTCTCAGTTCAACAGTTCTTCCTCTCTTGTCTACATAAACTCATGTTGAAAACAAGGTGTGACAAAATATTGTGCCTTTTAACCATATTTAGCATTATTGTCTTCTAAATTCTGTGTTAGCAAAATATCTGGTATTGACTGCTTTCCCAGTTAATTATATATATATTTTTTTTTCCTCAGAAAATCCTGTATATTATCACATTAAACTCTGTTTTAAATATTCTCAGCACCAGACTGAGGCAACAACTAATGTTATGGCTTAAGGATTATTTACCTTTAGTGTCTGTAACCACGAACTGAGCATTTTGTAGAGCTTTAAAAACACTTTTCAAGCCTGAAAACAACTACAGTAACTCTCTGTAGCATGCCAGCTATTGCATTGCACTGAATTGTGTTAAATCAATATTTACAGGTGTTGGTTACAGCTGCGTTGCCAAGGTGCAAATGTATTTCATACTTCAAGAAGCTACTCAGTCTCTCCTTCTTGTTAAACTAAAAATAATAATAATACTAATAAAAAACCACCAAACCAAAACCATCCAATCATTCCCAAATTCTTTGCAACTACTTTCATTGTTGGCTGAATAAACTATTTTCAGAGTGTTCACAGATAAACCTGTTAAGTAATTTATGAGTTGAGATAAGCTTGAAAAGAAAAGGTTCCTTAGGAAATTTAAAATCAGAGTCAGTCTTCATCAGAAGTAAAACTCACTAATGATATTCAGAAGCTTCAAGCTTTCTACATAGCCAACATTACTTTAAATGTTTAAATAATTTAAAAAAATTATAATAAACATGTTTGCTGTTATGTCATTGCTAATATATGCTGCTTCTATCATCAGATACTAACACTCTGCAGATGTATAGACAGATACAACTCCATAGATGAGTTCTCTTCAAGAGGGATCACTCTCATGGTTGAGATAGCTACTTTACTACTCAGCTAATTTTAGTGCAATTATTTTGTTAGCTTTGACTTGGGATGCAGTTTCCCAAGTGCTGAAAGCTGATTTTAAGTCTCTGCAGCCAGACATTTCTTTTCCTCCTCCTGTTAGCACTTCTTCCCTTTCTTACGCTATCACTATGCTTGGGAGCAAAATACTTGGCTTCGGGGAAGGCAAGATTTCCATTTCTGACAGCAGCATAGACTTACACTGGCTTTGGCCAAGCAAAACATGTATCTTGACTGCAATCAAGATCAGTCTCTTGCACATCAAGTGTTGTTAATGGCAAAATATAGGACTCAAGCGCAATAGCCCAAGGTCATCAATTTGGACATCAGCAACCGAAAGGATTCTCGTAATAGCATCTCTCTCACATCGTCGTATACAACGTTCACCTCTGTTTATATGTTGACTCTATGTTTAAAAACAAAACAAATTTTGCACAAGTAGCAGAGAACATTATGCAATAGGAAGTCTATTACACAGCCTTCTCTCCTTTATCTAGGGCAATCTGCCTTCTGGGAAAGAAAGCTCTGGGGTGAAATTTGATTTTTACTGCTCTGCTGGAGCTGCTATCTCCTTTCTTCACAAATGGGTCTTGCAACAGATGTGCTGGGTACAGGACCGCCTAGCTCACTCCACGCCACGTATCATCTGCAAGCTGCCGTCCTCAGCAACCTCCCTCCCATACATGCAATCGCCACCATATATACTATTCTTCCACCACTCTGTCTTTCTACTTCTCCCACTCCTCCTTCTCTTCTACAATTGTCAGAGACTGCTTAGAATGACAAAGAGCAACAGAAAGAAAAAAGTGGTGAGTGCAGAAAGGGAACCCTGTTGGCTTGCTGCCTCAAGCATGTATTTTTGTGTGTTTAAAATCAGTACGTGATTACTAAAAGAACAGCATTTTTATATTTTGCAAGTTATCCTGTGAAAACATGTAATTAAGAAAATGACCTTGCTAAGCTTGAAGACCATGTCATGCTTATTCTTAAACATATTTTTATAATTAATAATCCCTTCTGATTATTGATGCAAATGAAATAAAATAGGATTTTGAGGGAGATGGAAACAAGGAGTCTGTGCAATGCTAAAATCAAGCTATAAGTTAACAGCCAGCATAAGATCACTCTTGCGTAAGTACGGTATCATCACTAACGTAAAGTAAAAATGTTACTACAACTTTTTTGACTTATTTCTCTTTAGCCTCCTTGAGCTTTTCATTTTCAGATTTTCAGTTACAAAAGAGCCACTGTAATCTGTCTGACAGCAGAATGAGTTACATGTTATATATAAACAAAATGTAAGAAATACTACAAACATCACACACCTGAATATCCACTGACTACATAAAACCAAGAACATTCAGACTAAAGACAGCTAACCAGTGTTGAAAAAGGAAGAGCATGCAAGAATCTCAGGCCCCTATGACATTTAGGTACAGTGACTAAGAAAAAAAAGCACAGAGCAACAGCCACTACCACTTATTTCTTTTTTGTGACTTTATCTTAAATCTTTCTATAGAATTTTGTATATGTAATGCACTTCGATGTAGCACTACGAGAAAGAAAACAGTTCTTTCTTGTATTCAGCTCTTTGGGACATAAATCACAGCAGTAAGAAGACTGTTCAAGGGACAAGCACAGTCATTATCCATTATTTGTCTAACACTAAATTGCTCCAGGCAAAAAATTGCTTTCAACAAATATCGCGTTTATAGGAAGCAAAAAAACAAACAAAAAATACTCACAGCTTTGGTTTGGCAAGCACAGGTGGTGGCTCCTTTGTGGGTGAAAGCAAGACAGCTGGAGGTGGGATGGTTTTATCACCATTTGACTTGTTAATCATTCCATTAACTCCATGAATGGGATGGATGCCATTTGTTTTTTCCTCAGATGAATTGAGCTGTAGTTGAAGGGCTGTCACACCAGATCTCAACTCCGTGTTGTTTGCTTGGTGGGTCTCTGTATGTTTCTTAGGAAGAAGCTCAAGAGAGCTGATTTCAACTGGAGGAAGTGGTGGGAAATGATGGAAATCATCACTGTTGGAGTCTCTTGTCAGTGATTCATGACTAGAACTTTCTGAGTTGGCTGAAAGAAATCAGAAAGAATGTCTCTCTGACAAGTCATAGACAAAGGACATGGTACATACATGCTGTACTTTCAGGTTGTTAAAGCTGAGATCTCTTTGGTTCTGTGCAGATATTTTTCTAGACCCCCTGTTGATAATTCATGCTGAATTAGATACATGACTGGCTGTTCATTTTCTGACTTTGCCCCATCCAAAAGGCACAATAAGGAACCTTATGAATCCCTCTAAATCTATTCCAGGAATCCAGCCACTGAGACTGGCAAGTACTATGGGACACAACATCTGAAACAGCATTTCCTCTTCCCGGAGTCTCAGCATCATTTAAGAACAAACCATTTTAAAATACTGAAGGATGTATGTATACATGGCATGTTTGCAATGACTGCTGGGTTAGTGCATTCCACCACAATATGTATGTAACCATATTACAAAACCAAACATACCATGTTACAGTTTTTTATTTTACAAAAGGCATAGGCCACCTTTGGTAGCATAATTTCATCTGCTTTCATTTTGCCTCTGCTGCCATCTAGTCCCAGAACCCTAATGCTTAAGAATCTGCCAGGCTTGTGGCAGACACTTTAAAAAAGTATTTTACATGAACAAAAATATTAAACTAGGAAATGAGCCAATAAAAACATTCAGTTTGTTTTATATGAATGCTCTGAGGTTGACAAGACCCCTGTCTTACAGCAGCCCTTTTCTACAAGGGAAGCAGACTGATAACTTCACAGGTAAGTTAATTATCTAAGATCTATGA